CCGTCCCCCCCCCCCGCCCCCGCAAATTTAAATTGCCCCCGCCCTCGTCCCCAATATCCGCCGAGGGTAAAATTTGGGTACCCATCCCCGCCCCTGGCGGGGTTCGGGTTTTCCCGGCCTGCCCCTGTTCTTATTTTTTTTAATTTTTTTCTTTTAAATAAATATGAACAAATTTAAAAAAAGAAAAGTAAAATAATATAAATTTTTACATATAAATATTTCTAATTTTGGTTTATATATACATAAAAATAATTTTTTATATTATTAAGCGGGGACGGGACAGGGGCGGGGCGGGTATTAACATTCCCGTTCCCGCCCCCGCTCCCGATTTTATCAATCGGGGAAAACCCGAACCCGATAAACACAGGTTTTCCCCATCCAAATCAGGGTGGGTTCGGGCGGGTACCCACGGAGGCGGGTTAGATTGTCATGCCTACTTGTGGTCACGTACCTTGCAGACATTTTTCATGCTATTATTTTCCCCAAATATTTAGAATTGAACACATGTTCTAAATAATTAAAAAAATACAATACTCTCTTTACTAATCTCCTTGACATATGCAGAATGCAAGATGTGGTGCAGAGCAAACTCAAACTGTTACTCGCCAGGCTCCTACAATTACTCATGTTCCTGGTAAATGCTGATGACCAACATTATTGATTTGTTAAGTGTGCGTTTGGTTTACCATTTGGAAGGTGTTAAACAGACTTTCATTTGTTCCAATGCACAAATTTAGAAGCAACTCTTTTGTCTCATTGGAGTGAACGTTTGTTACACTGAACTTAACTTTTTTTACAAACACACCCTAAGTCCTTTTAGTCAGGGCATTTCCCTTGTTGCAATTTTCCTGTGTTCCATTTGTTGGAATGATTTGTCCATTTTTAACAAATAATTAAGTACCTATTGTTCATTCTAAAAGAAGTACCCTCAAACAAGGAAAACTGAGCAAGTTCTTCAGAAAAAAGTTGGCTTCATTTTTCTGTTTTACTCATGAAAACCTTATGAAACATATCAATGTTATTTGTTACATATAGACTCTTCCAAAACATATTTTAGATTACACATCATGGTTTTCAATTCAATTTTCAGGCAAGGAGAAGTCACCACAACTTGACGACGGTGGAACTGGATTTCCGCCTCGTGACGACGACGATGGTGGAGGTGGAGGAGGTGGGGGTGGAGGCAACTGGTCTGGTGGATTTTTCTTTTTTGGGTTTCTTGCTTTCCTTGGCTTCTTAAAGGATAAGGAAAGTGAAGACACATACAGGGATAACCGAAGAAGGTGAAGAATTGGCCACCACCAAAAATGCATGCTTTGCTTGAAGTATTTTGCTGCTTCATTCTTTAATTTCCTCTCTCATATAATCATATTGGGGTCGAGTGAGGTTCTGTGCTTGCCTAAGATGATGTAATGCGCAGAATTTTTGTATTTTAGAAATTAAACAGCACTTGAAACTTTAGTATGGAAGGAAATATCGTAATAATTAGTATCATATTACTTACAAGTTACATCTGTATGTGTTTAATCTCGGTGTTACTATAGTAGTTAAGCCTTTTGACTTGGATGTTACAAATTAGAATGATAATTAGATGGAACACTATGGGCCACCATAAACTAGGAAATGCTCTTTACCTCGTTTGTCTATGTTGACTTATATTATATTAGAAAGCAGCTCATTTCTCAGCGGGAATTTTAGTAATAAATGCTCTTTCATTTAATTCAAATTATATTTTTAATGAATCCTTTTACTTTTAATATCAAGTTCTAGGAGGTAATTTAAGAAATTGGGTTATTTTTTAAATGAGAATAGTGTAACTAAATGTTAAAAGTAATTTTTTAAGATATCGTGATTTATTTAATTACTTTTTGCTTATATTCATAATTGAAAGGAGTACTCTTTAATTTTTTAAAAACTATGTCGTTTATTGATGGTTTAAACTCACTGAGACTTATAATATTTAGGTTTAGGATCTTATTTCCTATCACTTATTGAATCACCTCTTCTATTTAATTAATTCATTTGAGATATTATAGTAATTTAATGTAGGGTTTTTTAAAATCTTATTAATACTCAGTTCATTTCTCTCCTCACAAGAATTCATAATTGCTCGCAAGTTTTTTCTCATTCTTCTCATCTCTTCTACTTATGATACATTTTCAGAGAACATCTTTAAACTTCTTATTTTTATCTTCTATAATTGTTTCTATATTCGATGATCATATGCTATAATGGCATCAGCAATTAGAGTAGACGTGCTAAAAGAAAAGAGTTTGGAGATGTTCTACCGAGTGAAAATGGATTCTACGTATGTAAGAGGAGAGAAAGTAAACCCTTACCACATTTATGAATTCTTAAGAGATGAGATAGGAGGGGGAAATGAGGGTTTTTTTTTTTCATACACAGTCTCAAAGTTCACAATTAAGAACTATAATATAATTTTTTTATCAATTTATAATCAAATATTAAATTAATATATCTCAAATGAATTGATTAAATAAGAGAGGTGATTGATTAAGTGGTTTATTATAATGTTGATTTATGAGTCAATACACGACTCCTAAAAAAAGATAAACAATTCATTACTTAAATAAGATCTAGATGTAATTGTCCTAACTATATGAGAAGTGAATATATTTGTCTCAAATAATAATAACAATAAATTTAATTTGCATGCATGAGTTGTTAATATAAATTGTTATATTTATATTATCAATTAATTAAGGAAAAATTACACTTCTGTCTCCTAAAGTCTATTTAAATAACACATCTTTTCTCTGTTTTTTAAAAATTACTCACCGTCTTTAGAATAAAGTCATTAGTTAAAGTGAGAAAATGAGAAAAATTAAAAATCAATTCATATTCTGCCTGTTATATATATATATGTCTATCTTTCATTTTTAAATTACGTACAATACTATATTTTTTTATAAAAAAAATTATTGTTCTTCAATTTTAAAAATAATTTTTCAGCTTATTCATTGAAGTTTGCATATTTTTTAAATCACAATATACATGATATTTATAATATAATTTAAGAGTTAAAATTGAATGAGATCAAATTTGATACAATTGTTGACACTAGTATTAACAAATTGTTTTCTCTTAACAATGCACAAATAGTGTTAAATGTTGCAGCAAAAATAACTAGTTCAACTACTAACCACTGTTAAATCTCATAAAAAATGGGATTTTATTGCAATAGTTGATGTTGACTATGCATCCAAAGAAGAACATGAGGATTTTCTCCCTCATGTGCCTAAGCATAAACTACTGTTAAATCTCATAAAAAATGGGATTTAAGTTTGGTCCGCTCACCTGTATTTCTATTTTCCTTACTATTTGAGTATATGATATGTAATATATGATAGTTGTGAGGCGGGGTGCTAACCTAATTAGGATCCTCCCTCACCTAGTGATACTAGTAGCACATCCATCTTTTTTCAAAAGAAATTATATAAGATTATGTACTATTTAGATAAATAAATAAATAAGGTTAATACTCACTTAAAAATTTAAAAATATGTATATCATTTAAATAAATAAATAAATAAAACTTTAAAGGTGGTATGGACAATTTTCTGATTAATCAAATATCACTCCATCAATCAGATTTTTGCACATACTTGGGGGTGTTGGTTGATTTTATCTATTAAAACATTTAGTACTACAATAATTTTATTGTGTAGTTATACTAGCATGAGAGTAAAGACCAGTATGCTCAATATATATTCCATGCTGATTTTTTTCTTTTTTTTTGCTACACATAAAATTTTGGGATTAACTTAAGATTACCAAACATAAGAACTAATGATAACAACTTTTAAAGTTTAGGGAGTTATAGCAACTTATACAATTTCAAGATTATCATGATAATAAATTGTAAAATTTATGAGCTATAATATCATTTTGTCACGTTTGATCTTCAATAAGTATACGTGGCCTACATGTGGCAAATAAGTAACATGCCACGTCACTGTTTCACTAAACAATTAAAATTGGGTTAACTACAAAGGTTACCCTAACTAATACATTTCAAGTCCAACAATTTATTTGAATTTATTTTACATTTTTTTCTAATTTTAGAAACTATTAACGTCTCGGAGTTAAATGCGAGTTCCATATTACCTACCTTTCATTTATTAAACACAAGTGTCAACATGATTACTCTCTTGATTCTGCCTTGGTTTTAAAATTTGTACAACACATTACGTGAGAAGTTATTCATGCAATCCCCAACTATTTGTTATTGATTCGTCCAACTATAACATCTGACGAAATATAGATTTGAGAAAATTAACTTAATAATTGTTTGCATCATTTAATACAAAAATCATTCAAAATGTATTTCAAAAATAATTATTAACTTAAATGTAATTTTCGTCTCTCAAATTTTAGATAATATTATTTTTAGTCCTTCAAATTTAAATATTATTTTTAATTTTTATAGTTATCAAAATTATTGTTTGTATCTTATTTACCAATAACATATATATAAGTAATTGATTGAGATAATTATACAATATTAACTATAATATTTACTATATTTAATATAATAGTTTCATTAACAAAGACATCAATAAATAAATTTTATATAATAATATTTAACAAATTTTCTAACAAAATTTAAATATAAGAATTATAACAAATTTTTTCAATAAAATAAAAGGATTACAAAAAATTTCTTTTAAAATTATAAGAAATAAAAACATCAATTTTAAATTTAAAAACTAAAAATAAATTTACAATTTAAGAAACTTAAAACATATTTAAATCATCATTATTATATAAATATTCTTTTCAAAACAAAAAAGCATCATTTTTTATAAATATATTCGAGAAACAATCACTTGATAATAAATATCACATCATTCTTGATAAATAACGATTATAAAGGTGTATTAAATTATGGAACAATTGAAATGTACAAATTATTAAATTTCTTTTATTCAGTCAAAGGCGGAACGAACTCACCCTAAGATAACCCACAAAAAGGAGGGATAATTTGAAAAAACACATTGTCACATTTAAACAATAACTAGGAACTATTTTTTGTTAAAAATTATAAAATTATTTATTGAATCCATAGCTTAAGAAAATTTATAACCATGCTACCCATCCACCAAGAGTCCTCCAACTTGTTACAACCTAATTTTAAAAAAAATTTATAAATATTCCTTCTTAACTTGCCATTGATTTTCCCCTATACATTTCCAGTAACCTACCAAGTTATCCAAAAAAATATAATTAAAAAAAAAAAAAAAAAGCCATAAATTTCATACTTCGCGTAATGGGTCGTAAATGCATATAAGATTTCAAAACTTGTCGTTAGTAACTAGGTCTTAAAGGCATTTTTTGTTATTAACATCCCTTCCCTTTCTTTGGATTATACACAAAAAATTTCTCCAGAATAACAGTATTTACCATGGTGCTATTCTGACCACCCCGCCCTCAATATAAGAACTAGGCTGTGCTATTTTAATATAGTGGCAGGAAAAAATCAAAGATAAGCATCATGGTTTTTCTAAGGTAATACAAAACGAGGAAAAGATAAACAAAATATTCTAAGCATCAAAACCCCTGTGTACATGACCACTGCTTATCTTGTTGGCCTAGTCCATGTTGTCTCCGACGTGATGGTATTACCATAATAAACCTGCTTTGAGCTATTGTCCCAGTAAACCTGAGGTAAGTAAAAATTGAAATAGAATCAAAATGTCATCATATAATATCATTACAAACAATTTCATACTCCCTCTATTTTTATTATAAGTAAAAAAAAAAAACTATTTTTTCTTAAATATACGCAAATTTCAATTTCTTGTCTCATTTAATGATACTTTCCTTATAATATCCTATCTTTAATGCATGATCTTTAAGTAGGCACTACTTCTGATATTTATAACAAGGACAATATAGAAAATATGTTATGGAATTAGTAAAATTTCATACAGATAACTAATTTCCTTAGTTTGCATAAAATCAGCTTTTTTAAAAAAGAAAGATAAATTGTAAACTACCTTGTTGCATACAACACAGCGCTGTTGAATTTTACATTATTCATTAAAATAATAGAAATTTTTAAAAAAGGAATAAAAATGTATAAATCCTTAAAAATAAAAGATATATCAATAATTATAGATTTGTTTATATTTAATGCAAATAATTAATAATTTCATGCTGCAACGATCGTAATTTACATCGCAACAACCGTCAACCGCAACTTAAAACCATGTTTACTAGTATTGAGAAAATGAAAAAAACTCTAAAGTGGTCACAACAAATTAGCTTTGTTAAATAAGAAAGATAAATTGTGTAGTCAGAAATCTTTTCGAGCTATCCTCCTTAAAAGTTTTGCTTATAAATGAGGTTTTCTTCTTCACAAAAAGCAAATTAGAAAGGACCCTGAAAACACACCTGCCAATTAGCTGGGAGACCGATAGAGAGTTCACTCAAATTTGGCTGCTGCTGGTTACTCTCAATTGCATCTTGTGGTGTACTAACAGATTCACTTGCTGCTTTTGCTCTCTTGCGTTTGACCTTCTCTCGCCTTAATAAAACAAGAAATCTAATTATTGTGTGTAAACTGGATAACGGGTGGATGTGAAATTAAAGGTTTCTGCAGTCCCATACCAATCACCTCCTAGAGGCTGAAAATTAGCGTTGTCTTTGGCCTCTCCACTTGCAATTTGCTTGGCATGCCAATCCTAAAAGCGAAGGAACTTGATAAACAAAAATTTGGAAAACGGCAATATTATATTTAGTTATGCTCCACATGCAAACCTCTATTTCCCTTTGGCGCTTTCTTTCTAACGCCTCATACACACTATCAGGTTCTTCCTCTTCTTCAAGCATCTCCTCTTTAGCTGCCTTCCACTGATAAAAATAAATAACAGAAACAATGCAAAAAGGTCAAATATTAGAAACAAAGATCAATTCCACATTGAATAGGAAATAGTCTACAGTATGAAATCCAAAAAATACTAGAAAATTTTAATATTTCTATTTATTTAAAATAAATAAATAAAAATTAAATAAATATAAAATAAATAAATAACTACCTTATCTACCAAACTTGAAACCTTCTTATTAGACTTTAAAGAGGATCCAACTGCAACTGCTCGCTTCCTAGTGCGTACAACTGAGAACAAGGAGGGGGAAGTTGAGTAATCAGAGTGTCAGGGATCTTTTTATCATGTAGTTTCACAAGGGCATGAACAGCATTCAACAATTACATTTAAAATTTAAATGGATGAAAAAATATAAGCAATTACGAAGCGTGTATGCAGATGTTTGAGAAATAAATATATCATAATCAATAGATACCGACATTCAACACAAGAAATGCATTGTTATACAGCAAACTAAATAAAAATTTCATCCATGAATTAACCACACCACCCATATATGGAAAGGCAAGCTAACAAATAAACCACTAATATTACAGGATCAGCACATCTCAGGCAGGGGGGAAGAAGGTTCAACCAACAATACAAAGTAATTGTAATAGAATATGATCAATTCTGAAAGACATAATACTGAACAACCTAGGAATATATGTCCTAGAACCCTCGAATGCCAACAAGGCCAATGTCTCCCTCAACTTTACCAGCTAAATTTGAAACAGGATCACCCAACCAGTAACACTAGACATACATAAGCATATGTACCTTTTGTTTGGGCTTTAGAAACTACTGATGGGGCACTAATTTCTGCAGCAGATTCAGCAGCAGCTGCAGGCAACGAAACACCTTCATCAACAGAAACAGTTGCAGGTGCATGCATGCTACATGAGGTGGACGGAACATCACTTGATGCCCAATCAACCCCACCAACACCAGAATCAATAATATTAGCAGGTATGGACTTTGAAGCAGCTCCTGAAAGTTTTAAATAAACCAAGTTGATTTTAAAAAAATGTTGAAATAACTCAGCCAGAAAAGAATATTTATAGTAAATAAAAAATTAGAAATTACTTCACTACTGATATAAGTACCAACACAAACATACCATCTTGAACTGCATAATAAGCAACAGAGTCAGTTGGATTCATCATAACTTGAGGATTTTCACTATACATGTTAGCAACTGCACTATTATAGTAGATCTGTGGCGGTTGCATAGCAATTTGTCCGTATATATTACTGATTGGGACTTCAGCAGCTGTCTGCCCATAATATTCAGCAGCAGCACCAGGATAAGATAGACTATATTGAGTGTAGGAAAGGGGCTGCCCTGTCTCTGTGTATGACGGAATAGCACTATAAGAAGGTGCTAGTGGATCACCAGGTGGAGGGGGCACCTGATCATTGTCTGGAGGTGGTGGTGGAGGCACATGCTCATTATCAGGGGGTGGTGGAGGGATCCATTCATCATCTGGAGGAGGAGGAACAACAAACTCACCCTCCTCAAGCAACACAGAATGGTAGTCAATGGGTGGATTCAACTGAACCAGTTGATCTGTTTGCACAGAATCCTTTGCAACAGGCACATTGATGACAGTAGTGTTGCCTGAGGAATTTATATCTTCAACTTCCATGTCAACATCCATATCATCATCTTCACCAACATTATACTCATGTTTATGAATTGGTTCCGGAGGATTTATAATTGCTTCAACTTTTGAATTAAAGTCTACACCTGTTTCCATATGACTACCAGAAGAACTATGCAATGGAACATCCTGATCATTGGTAGAAATTTTATTGTTGATATCTTCTAAAATTTCAGCTGAAGCATCAAACTGAGATCTATTAGAAACATCAGAAGTAAGAAGGCTCCGTTTGTGATTATTGTGATCTATCTCTGACTCTTGTCCCAAGTCATTCTGTTGGTCACCCAATTCTTCAGAGGCAGGGACAAGTTTTTCCGCAACTTCATCAGAAGCAGAATTAGCATTTTGCAACAAATCATCATTGATTAAACTTTCAAGCAATTTTATCTTTCTGTCGGAATGCACCCAGAACGGAAGCAGAGATGATCCATATGGTGCAAGAGACCTTATATCAGAGAGCCTAATCTCAATCTCGAGCATGTGCTTTGACAAGGAGTCTTGGCCTTGCATATTTGACCTGTATAATATTCTATTAGTTACTTAAATCTGGAAGAAATAAGCCTTCACACTATATAATATGAAATCAAGCAAAATACTGCAAATAAATGATGCAGAGCAGCTAAAGTTATATACTTACTTTTTCAGTGATTTCAGCTTCTCTAACAAACTCTCACTCTGTTTGACAAGACGAGAAGCAAAATCAATGTCCAATTGCTGTTCTTCAACACTAAACTTCGAAACAGATGAAGGATCTCCCTCATCGGATAAATTCATATGATCATCATTTCTTGTCAATTTATTTCCATTAACATCTGAAACCTGATTTTGATCGCTACATTTAACACTGCCTCCATTTATTTGGGACCCATGACCATACAATTCTTTATGAGAAGTCACTGAGGCTTCCAAAGAACCATCAATTATGGAAGCAGCAGAAGCATCCTGAGTTGCAACTGAGAGCACATTGGAACTATTACCAACAGCAGCACTCTCTGTTTTATCATTGACAGAAGCATGCGTTATTGTGTCATTAGCCAACTGATCTGCATTAGCCAAGACCTGGGGCACTTCCCATGAAGTTTCCCCAGTATCAATGTTCCAGTAATAATAGCGTTGGCTTTCCTCATGCATCACCATCTTCCACCCGAGACCAACATCAGTGACAACTTGTTCATCAACACTTTCAGAAACATATATTTGATCTCTGGAAACCATTTCATTTTGCAAATTACCAGCAGCACCATCACTTTCACTTCTTTCACTGCATTCAATATCAAGTGAAGCAGTATTTTGTATAGTATTTTGCTGTCCATTATTCTGAGCAACAAGATCTACAGGGACACTGACGTCCAAATCTTTAGATCCTTCATCCAGTACACCCTGAGAAACAAAATAAAACAGAAAAGTATAAATAATACTTAAAACATAGCTTATTCATTGTATCATTGTAGGATTAAGTACTATTTGCATACTCCAAAGACAATACTTCCACTAATTGTCATGAGTGGTGCAGGAATATACCCTATATATCAAATAGTGCAATGAAATGCAAAAATAAGTACACATAGTCAATACTTTTAGATAGTGCTATATAAATATGAATACCATATGATATTAGAAACAAGATATGCTAAAAAGGATTTCAATCAAAGGAACTATTCATAAATTATTGGAAATCATAAGCCTCCAATAAAAAAAGCAAAAATTGTTGTATTACAACATCAGAAAAGGGGACCTCAAGCAAAAGACTGTAAAAAATAAAACAGGAATCTTATAGAAAAATTTACAAATTTGCTAACAAATTTTAGAGACATGGAAAATTGGTAATTTATATCCATCAGGAAGACAGGATCTTGCTCAAATAACCCAAGTATATTATGCTTAATTGATCCAATAGTTACACCCAGGGGAATTCAAACAATACACTAACATTGGACCAGCCAGTATTGGCACAACCCCTTTTCACAATAAGAGAATCAATAAGGAAGATTATTAAGATCAACAATATTAATTTAAGCACCACACAAGGTCAACCACAAATAAGAAGCTCAGATACATATCTGTTGTGACAAAATCAAAGTTGAATTAGAATACAGATGGTGTTAGTAGAATACCTCTTCATTAAGCATGGGGCTTTGCACATTTGCATCATTAAGCCCTTTGCTTGACCCATCATCCCCTTCATCATCACTATATTGCCCAAGTAGCAGCAGGGGATTCTGTGGTTGTGGACCTGGAGACAACATACCAGCATGTTAGAAACTACAAAATGCTGGATTATCGACCATGCCATATCAAGAATATTAGAAAATAATACCAAATGATCAAAAAACTATTAAAATAAGTGCCACAAATGACAAGAAAGACCAAAAACAACTTAAAGGATGAAGATTCACAAGCATTCTAGCTTGTATCAATGAGTCACCTGTTACAAATGGGAAATGTCAGTAAGCCACTAAGCAAATAAAGCCAGAAACATACGAACCGATAAAACTTTCTACTGTCTGAACCTCAGAAATCCCTTGATGCAGCTAAAGGGGGGAATACGATTAGGAGTCATTCATATTTCAATGTGGCAGGGCCGACCTCATCTGAAATGAATGCTCCCAAGACCACAGCAGCCCTACAGTCTGAGAACAGTTTCTTGGGGGCAAACAACAAAACATGTCTTGTATATATAGTTCCATATTTCCACCAATTTAATGTTGAGCACTCATGTCCTCTAAATATAGTCCTTTTGAGAAAACTGACAGAACCCACCTGAAGAAGAGGGTGAATTGGGTAACCCATCACGATGTTGAGAATCAGTATCTCCTCCAGTATCACCATGTAGATTATTGGAGCCACCCAACTCTCCTGGAAAGGTATAAAATTAAAAAACATAACATGTAACACCAAAATAGATTAAAAACCGCTTCCATAATTTGATTAGCAAATAATTCCTTAGCATCCTTTATCATAGGTGCAGTACACTCAACACCCAAAGCATAGAGTTTCCAATCACTAACTAATCTAACACAGCAAAACATGTTTCATGCACAGGCTCCATAAGTATTGGAACATGCCCGAGCATTCCACAGACTGATTATTTTAGAGACAAATCCAAGCAATGGAAAGCACTCAGCCCAAATGTGAAAAAAAATTAAAATTTTTATTTGCCCGAGACAAATGCATCAAAAGATAAATAAAATAAATAAAAATATACATAAATAATAAATAATACAATACAATATATGATAAGAGTAACTGCAACACTTATATTAATTGACTCTATAGTTACGTAACACTAAATTAACAAATTCTCATACGCATCGTATAACTACCACTTCCAGAAAACCTACAACAAAATATGAAAACAAAATCCTAGAAAGCAAATTAAACAAAAATTAAAATATAAGATAAGATCATAAAAGTCACTGTCATCGATATACCATCTATTCCATAAGTCTCACGATACTAAATTACAAAATCCACATACAAATCGTAATACTTTCATTCTCAATAAACTACAACAAAACTGGAAAGCAAAAGCAATACAATACACGACTTGGACTCGGCAAGTCTGACAAGACTAAATTAACAATATACAAATTCCTTAAACTTTAATAAATTGATAATCTGAAGAGATAAATAAGGAGCAAAAGCAGGGTTTCCGAATTGGAAGCAATAAGAAAAAAGGATTAAAAAGGAAGCAAAGAGAGTGAATACCAGAGGGTTCCGCGAAAAGATCGAGTTTGACTCTGCGACCGGCGTTGCTGAGAGCGGCGAGGCGACGCTC